TATTACTATTTAATAAAATAAATAACTAATTAATGTTCTACACATTAAAATAAAAACAATTATACAGTGGTAACTCACGAATTGTGCTCAAAATATAGTTAAGAAACATATTTTTACTTGAATTGCTTCCAGGTGTTTTTCTGATATTTACTACAAAAAAAGTTTTTGAAGTTAAATTCATTAACTCTGCCCAGACAGTCTACTTGAATTGTCTTCGATAACACACCTAAATTATTAATTAATATTTATCGATAGTTGTACGTAAACTATAAATCTAAATATTATTATAGTATCGATTCCCTTGAAGTTCAAAAACATGTGTCGGTTTATTTATTTAMACTTTTATAATATTATTTACGAAAATTAATTGACCATAAATCAATCGGCATTGACTTATTATTCAATTAAGTTGAGTGTCGTGTATTCGGTGTAATTACTCAAAAAATTTTGTGATTTTAACTATAAATCGATTAATTATATCTACCGGAGGCAACTCCACTACAAAAAATTTATTAACTAAAACAAGATTAAGAATGTATCAAACAAGCAAAAAGTATTTAGGGTTGAATCAATTATTTAAAATTATGTTTTGTAATGAACTAGTAACTAATATATAAGTYTATCAAACCATAGATTAATATTAATTATTAGTTGCCAAGTTCAATGAATAGGAAGATTAGATTGTGCCCGTAATTGTTTTTATATGTTTAATGATATTTTGTACCACATCAGAACTTTTTGCGGTACCATTTAAATCAGCTGTATGTAACATGTCTTCATTGAGTGTCTTACATATAGCAGTCCTGAGGTTATTACAATGCACTTGGTGACCCAAGTGTTCTAACATGTCGGCAGACGCATTTAACATCGCTACTGGATTAGCTGTGTTAGTACCTGCAATACTCGAACCAGTGTTTCTGGTACCTGGCTCAAAAACTGCATAATGATCACCATAGTTTTTTCCCGACATCATTCCCGCACCTCCAACTAGGCCGCATATTACATTTGACACAATTGAACCGTACAAATTAGGCATAACCATCACATCAAATTGATGAGGATCGGACACTAACTGCATGCAACAGTTGTCAATAATCATATGATCAAAATCGATATCTGGATAATTCGATGACATATTTATGCAAGTTTCCAAAAATAATCCATCTGATAATTTCATAATGTTAGCTTTGTGGATTGCCGTGACTTTACTGCGACCATTTTTTTTTGCTAATTCAAACGCGTAACGAGCCAACCTTGTAGAATTATCTCTAGTAATAACTTTCAAAGATTCGACCACGCCGGGTACACTTTCGTGTTCCAACATTGCGTATTCACCTTCAGTGTTTTGACGTACAACTATAATATTTACGTTCTTGTGGTGACTTGGTACGTTATTGTATGACTGCACATGTACGGCATTCACAAATAAATCGAGTTCGTTACGTATGGCAACATTACGTGAAATTATAGCTTGTGATTGACTTTCTGTTTCAATGTTGCCTTTAATGCATACACCGTTTCTACGAATAGACATAATGGCGTAGTCCAGATCATCATTATTATCACTTTTTGGATCGATCCGAACTGTTTCGAAATCAACTGGCATGCCAGTTTCAAAAAATACTCTTTTTACATAACTCATCAGCTCTGGCCCAATGCCTCCACCCGGTAACATAGTGACTGCATTTCTTCCTCCATATCTGTATAATTAAAAATAAATATTATACTGAGAACGATAGCTCTGAGTATTGAATTTCAATTCAACAGTTATAGATACCTCCTCCCCCATTCAACAATGTTTTATAATAATAATTATGATTAACTATTGAACAAAAGCTATTATATTTTGTCGTTATAAATATTGGTTCGTACTCGAATTGTCCAAGAAATTACCTGGCTCTGGAAAATCCAATTGGTCTTGGGGTTTGCGGTCTGTTCTGTTGGATATCGAAGTTTACTGTCGATAGCTGGCGAATGGTTTGTGGACCTGATTTTTTAATCAAAGTACACATCTTTGAAAGAATCCCGAACATATTGGATGATATTCTCGAAGCAATGATGAGAAGTTGTAGACTGAAGTTAGACTTATAAGTACAGGAAATAATATAAGAGTAATGAATACTTCAAAAGTTAAATTTGACCTGTAAAAACTCGAAAATTATCAACCTATACATCACCATGGTAATATGTTTAAAAGTATCATCTAATAAAGCCAATATATATTTTATAATCCATCGGGTGCTATAGTGATGTTTATATTATGTATATAATTGTCAATAGATTTTAAATTTTTATTGAGCGGGCTAAACTTTTAAACACAATTCCAATAACAAACAAAATAAATAATTTTTTACAGTATTTGATACATTCCAGAAAATTTAAATCATAAAGATTTTTACTATTGCATGAATCAAACATGTTATTTACCATTTTAATAAATAGGTAAAGTTGTGTCAATAATTGCAGTATTGGATTTTAGTTCCCCTGTAGCAATACACGTTTTTAATTTTTTATCGCTATCAGCAGCGATTTCAGATTCAAACATTATGAGAATAATAATAGAAAAACTACAAACTATATACTGACCTACGTCAGTATTTAACGTATTGCGAATTATGGTAGGCATAAACACAAGAAATAAAAGTAGGTACTATTACAAAATATAAAAAATAAACTCTTACATTTAGTTAACTTTAATTTTAATTATAATTTTGAAAAGTTTGTTCATGGTATATCAAAATATTTATATTTCAAATAGTCGAATAAGTTATATTATTGTAATATTGATTTGTTTATTTTAATTAAACGTCAAAATTGTACAGTAATAAATATAATAACTTTTATTAAAAATGACTTTGTATTTAAAAACAATGATAAAAGGATTAATTATTGTATTTTTTTTTTTATTAATCTAAAGCGACAACAGTTTATTTGACTGTAAAAACTTATAAGGACAATTTTAAGTAAAATGCGATTTCATTGAATTAATTATACATTTAAGCATATAAATAAACTATATTATTTTTTCGAGAAGTTATTTTTAGATAAACACGCATGAAGAATGCCTTTCATTCGTCAAAAATATACTACTTAATCAAAGTCTTCAAGTTTGCCAATTATATCACATCTAAATATCTAACATAACCTACAGACCGATAGTCCCCAGCCCGAGCCACGTACAATATTTTTTTCTTGTTTGTTATTATTTTGAAAAACACATTGTAGTTATATTCAAATAAATTGGAACAAAACAGATTTTTAAAAATACATTCACTATTCATAGACGTCGAATAACAGAAATAAGTAGGTAACTAAGAAATTTTTAATAATTTATCAAAAACAGACATGACATTATTGTATTAGTTACCTAAATTGGGCTTAACCACAACTCTCGAGATGTGAGTGAGCATACAACATGGTCGGAGCCTCGAAGCATAAAATAAATTTGTTGGCAACTGCCATGCCAGCAAAAGGCGACACGTGTTTTACTTTTTTTATTTACACCCATGATACGTATATAACAGTTATGATGTGGAACTGTACACACGTTCTCATCATAAATCAAATTATAATGTACTATACTATGTACCTACATATGAACGTAATTCATTGATTATCCTAGTACAAGCTACTCACATTAATATAAGAGTATATTAAACATTTTAACAGCGCATAAAACAAAATTGTTTCATTAGGTACTAGCGGTACTGCAGTTTATAAGTGAACAATAATTGGTGCATGCATTAAATAAACGTAAAACATTCACCTGGCACACGTGATGGCATTTATTATGACATACTTCATTTACATGATGAATTGTGTACATTGTAAAAATAAAGATAAAGATTATGAAAGATAATACTGTGTTCCTACTACCTACATAATATTTCTGGCGTGTTCTATTATAGTAACCAGGTTTATCGTCGTAAAGATCATTGGAAAATAGAAATTATACGCATATAATGTGTGTTTTCAGATATAATATTAAATACCTACATTAATTCACATAAAACATTAAAAACCTTTATACGTTATACCAACCTCTCAGAGATATTTGTGGTTTTAAATCTTAGAAACAACAAAAGTTTTATAAATCTTTAAACCATGGATTAAGTCCATTTATTAAAATTACTATACGTCTAAAGTAACACTAAATAAAGAGCTCTTTTCACCACCATATTACTCTGTTTAGTATATAGCACAACGCACTAGGTGCAACGTTCAGGTACCTATGTAATATAATGGCTTATTTATTATTTCTGTACAATTGTATATAATGCATGTAATTGCAGTAACGGCAATATCCTCTTTAATTATAAATTATAAGTGTAGTGACACTTTTATTGTCTTATGAACAAAAAACAACGATTCCTTTATTCCCTTCAAATTCGAATACCCACTTCTCCCAATTCTTTTATTTCTATCTCTTTTTGATATTATCGATATTCTAAAAACCATTTATCTTAACGAATTGACTCTATTTCATTTGGTAAATAATAAGTTTACTCGTAATTATATCAAAACTAAACGTACACATACAAATATAAGAAATACAAAATAGAAATGTAAATAAGGTATAAATTAATATTAAGTAATACGCAATATTGCCTACATATATGATTATACGTATATGATTATATAWATATATGTCATTTCGCATGTTTGGCAGTCACTCTGTGCCGTCTCAGTACTTCACAAATTGAAGTCGTCATTTACAGGACAAAAAACCATAATATAAAAATATAATTACAAAATTCACTAGTTTAATATTTTTATATAATTCACTTAATACTTTAATTAAATATGATGATTATTTTGTTGAAAAATACAATGCGCAATACGCTGCGAATGATCAACAATGCGTATCGTATACAATTGCATAAACTCGTTCTAAATAATGGCAGAAACAAACATATCAATTTATCCCAGTTGAATTTTTAATGCACATATTTGCATATTATATCATACGTATCCCATTGTCCATAACTTATAATATAAACAATTACTTTTCAACACTTGAAACCTGGCTACCTATATAATTTATGTTTTATATATTATAATACATATTTTAAGAAATGCATTATACTCAAAATAAAAATTTTTCCACGCTAAATATAGTATCTAAAATATTTTATTGTCAATAGGTTATGCCTAATGATTGACATACACATTTACAAGCTCATCCCACATGATATAATATATGATAAATATAAATATTCAGAATAAACAAATAGAATAAATATTATACTCTTAAAAAAATACAAAACATAATTATATGCTAACGTTAGTAAATCATGGAGCTATACCAACACTTCGATAAAAGTAGGTACAATAATAGTTATAACGGTATTATTTTGTTTAATTAATCAGCGATGAAGGTATCACGCACTATGTAGGTAGGTATAGTAGTTAATACTTAATACCATACTAAGTAGTGAGTTCTAACCACTGTTAGAAGATGTGATAACTATCATGTTTTCACTATTTTTCAAGTCACGTAGGCGCTTTACAAAAAAAAAAAAATGTCGATAAATCGCATAACTCGCTATATCCGTCAGCTGAACAAATTTGTATAATAAATTTCAAACGCTCATATAATATATTGACTTCAAGGCCTCCACACTGCTATATAAAGTGTTAATACACCTCAATGTCTTCTTACGTAGAACAAAATCGTAAAAACTGGGTCTCCATTTCACGCAAATCTCAAATATAAGACGTAAATATAAGTGGTGGTMGTTAATATTGAATAAACTTATTAGTACCTATATATTGAAAGTTTGAAATGATAGGCGGTTTACCTTTAAAAACTGAATACACGAATTCAATCAAAGAAAATTTAAAAAATACATTAAATAACTTACTCGTTTTAAAAGTGTAGTTGTATACAATATATAACATATATTATATTATATACATAGGTATGTACATTTTTTTAAACCATATTTTATTTCTGGAGATTTTCAAACAATTTTTTTTGTGGGTAATCACTTGAAAATGTATTCCTAAAAAAATATTTAAATGTTTGTGACAGTTATACATTGAATATTTTTTAAATATTTTTAACATAACTATTTTGCATGTTAAACAAGTTATTTTAACAGACCATTCTGAAGAGAAATTGAAGTAAAGAATTTTAGAATACAAAAAACAATAATAAAAAATAAAATCTCGTCAAAAAGTTTCACTGCTGGGTAATTCGGGTAGTTCCGTTTAACTTCTATCTCCTTCGTGTCTGTGTCATTACCTACTTTAATATTATATATGATATGCTTACTTTAAATAGATTGTATATTGTAAATAAATGTAATGTTTTTTTAATTTTTTTATGTAAAAAACATGAATTTACTTATGTGTATTTATATACGTAATCAAGTTATTAAAATTAATTATGTGAAATAATACACAGCTATTACCTATATATTATATCAAATTTTAATGCATATGATGAATCATATTAATACATAATATAATAACGTTAATAATATTATCTGTATTTATTGTATTATTTTTATGTTTTAAACATTAAATATTCAAAAGTAAAACTTAATTATAATAATATATAATAACATTAATTAGGTAAGGTATGTACAATGTTACAGGTTACAGGTTACAGGTTAGGTTATTTAGCTGCATGTGATGATTGTGATGCATGGTCTAGATGAAAAAAAAACATTTATCCAACAAAAAAATAGTTCTCATTTTAAAGTTTATTGAAAGTTAATTTTTAATGTCGAATTATAATTTCAAAAGGTTCCATTGGAGATTTGTATTGTTAGATTTAATTCATAATACAATTACAATTTTATTTATGAAACAATAATCATGTGGTTTATGTTTGAAAAATACCAGCTATGTTGGCTATAGCCTATAAAATTCAATACCTACGTCAATCGGTACCGATGATGTATACACACACATATATATAAGCCATAAAATCATCTCTAAGACTCGTCATCGACAGGTAACTATATGTGTGTGTGTGTGTGTGTGTGTGTGTGTGTGTGTGTGTGTGTGTGTTCGCGAGTGCGCG